TAAGAACATCTCTATGACTGTTGATCTGTAGTTTGCTCACAGAGTTTCTTCTCCAGGCATTGGCACTGCTTGCTGATTACATATATAATGAAGATGATTCTATCAGAATCGGAGCGATAATGGGCCTGGGCATTGCTTATGCAGGTGCTCAGAATGAGCAGGTGGATCCCTTGATTTTTGCCTGCTGATTATTTTCTATTTCACGGCAATAATATAATGTGTGGCTGGCATGAGCTACCTCTTTTTTGTTCTTTAAATTTGAAAGTTGCATGATTGGAATCCTTCAATCTATTCAACACTGTGATTGCATTCACTGTAATTGCATAGATTGCAACCATAGATTGTTGAGCATATGAAGATTGTTTTGGGATTAAAAAAACAAAAAGGGCTTACAAAGGTTACTGACTTGGCCGATTGTTTCATTTTCTTTAAAATATGTTTTGTTCCTCTTGAAGCCAACTTATCTACATTCATTTTCCAGATCTTCAGTAAATTGGCTCCTATCTTTGGAGATGCAAAAGCACCCCTTGACGTGATTGCATTCACTGCAATTTCGTTGGGCTTGGTATATGTGGGTTCCTGTAATGAAGAGGTTGCTCAGGCAATTATATTTGCATTAATGGACCGAAGTGAGTCAGAATTAGGAGAGCCCCTTACACGACTTTTGCCTCTTGGACTTGGTCTTCTATAACTTGGGAAGCAGGTAACATCAAATTACAAGCCGCGGTTTCCTTTTTTCAGAATTTACTATGGCTGTTGGTTTGAGTTAATTAAGAATGAGTAATGCTATCAAGTGAGCTCCCTCATGATGAGCTATGAGTTGTCCATATTTTAACCACTGTATTGAAAGATGCATTAAATAATTCAGTTGATTTTTCACAGATCTCAAAAAACTGTCTGAATCCAATGGTAAAATATAGAGAGCTTATATCTCTTGTCATGAGGGAGCTCTCTTGATTGCATTACCTCATTGAGAATTATGCTCTCTGAGTTTTCTTATTTCATTTTGTGTTATATTTGGAAAAAATTTAGTACAATGTGTAAACATGATACTTAAAAGCTATATTTTATTTTTGGGATTCCTTTTTTATATCTAACAGGAAAGTGTGGAGGGAACAGCAGAAGTTTCAAAGACATTAAATGAAAAAAATCAGAAAATATTGTGATGTGACCTTGCTTTCGTGTGCCTATGCTGGAACAAGGAAATGTGCTCAAGGTATTTAATAGCCAGTGAATTGCACTTTTAGATTCCTGTTACATGCATGAAACCTAACTGTCTATTTATCTCATAGGTCCAACACCTTGTAGGTCAGTGTGGGCAACATCTTGAGAAGGATGCAAACCATCAGGGAGCAGCTGTAGTTGGACTTGCTATGGTAGCAATGGCTGAAGACCTGGGCGTTGAGATGGAAATTCGCTTAATGGAGCATCTGTTACAGTACGGTGAGCAGAGTATCAGAAAGGCAGTTCCTTTGGCCCTTGGTCTCCTATACATATCAAATCCTAAGGTCAATGTTATGGACACATTAAGTAGACTTGGTCATGATACGGATACAGAAGTAGCAATGGTATGGACATGCAAGAGCTAGCTTTATATCCCGTTGTTTTCATCGTCTTCGTTTCAGTATTGTCAATAGAATTTACTTGCTTTATAGGCTAAAGCCTTAAAATTTGTTTTTATTGTACAGGCTGCCATAATCTCCTTGGGGTTGATAGGTGCAGGAACCAACAATGCTAGAATAGCTGGCATGCTTCGGAACCTTTCGAGTTATTACTACAAGGAAGCTAGTCTTCTCTTCTGTGTAAGACTTCTCCCAAGCTGCTACTTTCGGAAATTTCTCTTGAGCCACTTACAGACACACACACATGTATGTCTTGTCTTCATCTCTAAGGTTCTGAACTTGCAACGAAAAAGTACTTAAAATTCTTCTTTGAAAGTTTTATAAACTTGTCTTATATTTTACGTGTGTGGGTGGATACTAAATTTCACCGTTTTTGCAGGTATATTCCCCTTTCTCCTATGCTGGAGGGTTTTGTGATCTTAAAAGAGAATCCAGGCTACACGGAGGAGCAATAGTTAGTTATGTTGATCGTTGTGCAAGTGAATCCAACCTCCTTCATTCTCTTGTTTTTTTTAGGGGTAGTAATTTTTTTTAAGAATGATAATTGAGAAAGCAATTATTATTATTTTTTTTGTACAAAATTGCATCAATAAAATGAAAAGCTTTTAAAGTTTATATTACAAGATGACGTGTGCAAACCTTGTGAATAATTTTGGCTCTCGAACTTGAAGTGCTTGTTACACTACAACTTAAAAGCACTACCCAAGCCTAGTTGATGCCCATTAATTGGCTATGAGCTTGAGCACATGTTTAATCTAAAATGCAATTCTTAAAATATTTTTTATACCAAGAATTGCATTTTAGATTAAACATGTAGTCAAGCTCATAGCTAATTAATGGGCATCAACTTCTATTAATTAATATTTTCTTCGTTGCCACACACCGGCATGCTAATAAAACTTCAAATTTGAGCTCCCAGAAACATACATATTTAGCTAATGGCATGAGAAGACACTTATAGGTGTAATAAATAATAATTGACACAACTTTTCAAGATTAATTAACAAAGCCAAAAATAATAATCTATAAACTTTACAAAATATAAAGAGATGGAAAGAGCTAGATTGGCAAGAGGTGAGCGCGAGTGCAATCAAAGATCACCAGTCCTTTAAAAAATAACAATCAAGCTCACTACAACTGTTCTCTTGGGGCACACGAGAAAATAAATCAACTCTCAACTCTTAATTGCCGAAAGATGCTGAAGAAAAATTCCAAAATATGTAAAAATGTAAACAATATATAATGAAAGCTCATGAAAACTCAATAGAAAGGAATAGACCCAGATAGAGAAAAGTGTATAAAGACTAGTAAACTTTTTATAGAGGTTTTTTTTTTTTAACATTACAGGATGGAGAGCCTCTAGAAGCCAGATCTCCAAACACATTCGGCTACAAGAGACTTTTTGCTCAACAAGTGATCGACAACATTGCCTTCCCGAGCCAACCAAGCTAAGGAAGCACCTTTACAAATCTCAAGGCCGGAGAGAAGAGACATCATGAAAGACGACCAAATACTGTACTACTCCACATAAAACCTTTGACAGCTTCAAAACTACTACTTTCAAGCATGCTAGTGTCCAAGAATAAAAAGGGATACTCTGTAAGTTCTCTTGACAGAAAACAAGCCATCATTAATGGAAGCACCCCAAACTCCATCCATTGAAGTTAAGAGGAATTTGAAGAACGATGTCACGATCTCTCTGATTAAAATGTTGATTAACCCGGACGGACAAAATTCCATTTATGTATGAGTCGAATGATCAATCAAATTAGCAACTGAAAGAGGTTTTGAGGTGACTGAATGATTGGTTACTCCAGGAAGCCAATTATCCGACCAACAATTGACCTTTGACCCATCTCCAATTCTCCATTTCATCCTGACCAGCCAAGACACTCCTCCACACCCATGAAGCTCTGGCTTTGTTAGCAGCATCCACAAAATTACAATTTTTTTTTTAGTATTTTTGCTTGAAAGATTTAAACAAGAGCTTTTTGGCCAGCAAAGCCAAATTGAAAGGTTCCACATTTTTAAAACCCAGACCACCATTAGCTTTAGGCTTACCTTTAGCTTTAGGCTTGCAGAGATTGTCCTAGCTAATCCACTTGATCTTGTTAGATTTCTCCTCTCCACTCCGGCCACCAAAAATTAACAATATGGCTTTAAAATTTAGTATAGGAAGTTTGAAATAAGCTAGGACAACCGAAAGCAATGCTTTAACCATCACACCTACATATAAGCACTTCACTTTTCCCTTTCCCAGGCGATGTGGGATTGTGCACCCATAACTGGCCAGTGTGGTAGTCGGTCAGTATCTCGCACCCGCCCACAGCACACCCGCCCACAAGGTCATTACAATCCAGCCCCCTTGGAGGCCCCGGCGTCCTCGTTGGCACACTTCCGGCTGGATCTGGCTCTGATACCATTTGTAACGACCCAGTCCACCATATAGTATGATATTGTCTGTTTTGGACCTAAATCCGCACGGTTTTGCTCTTGGGTTTTACCCCACCCTTCCGGCCTTAGACAATAAATTACCTTTGAGGATACTATGTCCGAGATGAACTTCTTTTGGGGTTGACATACAGATTTCAAAGCCACTAAACCACCTTTAAGTATGCTAGAAAACCACCTTTAAGTATGCTAGAAAACTGCAGTTCTCTCCTTCATCCTTAAATGGTTGTTCTCCTTCTCCATACCTTCCTACCAGTAACATATAATTGACTTGCTATGATAACATCCAAACATTATAACATCTGAAAAAAGCCATTAAAAGCTAAAGTACATGAATCGATAATTAATTCGTTAATGTGCTGTGATTAATAAAAACCACCACACAACCATTGTTGGAAAGCTCTCTTCTTTATCAATCAGAAAAGTCCCAATAATCCTTGTTTAACCTTCTCAGCATGAAGAGAGCTCCAAAGGAGAACATAATAACATCACTCCCAGAGAATAATCGAAAGAAAACCACAAGTACTTTGGAATTGGTCTTGCTAACAGCTAAACTCACTTTGCTATATTTATAGTTTTGCACAGATCTCCTCCTTCATCGTTGGTTAATCACAGTTTAAGTAACCAGCTTACTAGCATAAATTTTGACAGACATCAACAAACAGACCAAAATTATTAGTGACCCAATAGTGAGCTTGCAAGGAAGAAGCCTAACTAGTGAAATGCTGGGGGGTACCGAATTTCTGGGAATTCCACGAGAGTCTTTGGAGGTTAAAACCCAATCCCCCAGTCAAACCAAAAGAAAAGAACCTAAAATAGTAACGAACAAAAATTATAAGAGAAGGTAATGAATTTTATTGTCCTTAGATTCAATTCATGAAAATCCAAGTATAAGGGACATTTAGTCATTTAGTTTAAAAAAAGATGAAGAAAAAGAACCACATTTATTAAAATAGTGGAGTGTATTATCATTTTCCCAAGTGCAAAGACCTACATGACCGTAATTAACAAAATAATAAAGTGTTCTAAAACAAATTGCAATTTCAGCAAATGCAAGAACGAACATTCATGCACAAAGTACTCATCGAACCACGGTCACAAGTGAGCACCACAACAACAATTGAAACGCGAAGGTTTCAATTACTTTAGCCTGAAATGGAGACTTACAAGGCAAGAAACATGAAGGTGCAGTGCGCTAGCCACTCTAGTACAAGTGGCTGAAGATCTTTGGGTAGGTTATCGCAGTAACAGTTACATAGCCATTACTTTCATTTCCTTGAGCGACTATGAAGGTAATACTCTCGAGCCACTACGAAGGTACATCTCTTTGGGAAAAGTCACCACATATAATTCCTACAGTTCGAGTTCACTACCGCAGCTTGAAACATGGTTACCCAAAGAAGAATAAAAACCTTCATCTTCCTCTACCACCAGGCAGAAAGGGTCTTAACTACAACATCAGAAGCTTCGCTACAGAAGATTGCACATAAAAGTGGTGCACGCAACCAACTTCCTCAACGTTTTCAGTTTCAATTGAGAGTCACTCATTAAGCACAAGGAGCTATGACGAGGGGATGATGGGGTGCAGAGAAGCAGATGCAGAGACTATGCAGTGGTAAACCATGTGCATTAAGTGGCGAAATGTTGCCGTTTTAGCCGAAAATGACTTCAAAACACAAAACATGGAATCTTTTAGAAACATCTACTTCAATCATATTAACGTTTAATAGAATTTTAGAGTAAAACATATAAACAGCAGCAGTATAGCAATTAAAAGAACAAAAGCGACTTCCAAGTTTCAGTAACCTGAATAGAGCAAGCTGACGCTAAAAACAGAGGCCAAAGCACCCATTTTGGCAGCTTAACAATGCAGAAGCCGTCCAAAGCCAAGTTCAAAACACACCCATTTGTCATCACATGAACTCAAATAACCCTATTCTTGTTTGTTATCAATCCTATCAGGACTACATTACAGCAGAAACTTCATCGTTTGTTGTTCTTCCCCAATTAGCTTCAGTTCCAGCCCCCAAGTCCTAATCACTGCAGAAAAGACCAACTCACATAAGCTTGAATGTAAATTATGTTTCTTAAATATACAAATAGATAGATAGATAATAAGATATATATATACACACACACACACACACACACACACACACAGAGGGAGTCAGAGATGGTCTCTTGCACACAGTAGATTCTAATCTGGTGTCTTTAACAAGTGATGCCCAGCTTAGAACCGTAACAAATCAAACCTATGTTTGAGTTTCCACACCCTCATCATCAAAACATGATTTCTCCCTCCTTGTGTATATATTGAGGGGAAAGGGAGCAATGCCTCCATCCAAATGACCATTACGGATCATTTAATCAAACAATTGATCCAGATGGTTATAAATTGTGATTCTTTTTACAAGTCCTCTTTCTTGACACTTGTCAATTCAATCGAAGGTCGAAACCAAATGACAATTAACAGCACCAAATAGCAGGACATTGGCAATTAGTAAATGGCATGAGATTAATTGCTGAGCGCAGCCGAGGAAAATTTCCATGCATGGAACCATGACATACCAAAAGCATTAAGGTAAATCACGATAACCATGACGATATGGAGGTGACCTGCTGTAGCCACGGACAAAACCAGGTGACACACTGCATGTGTGAGAACAATAACTAGTGTATGCATAAAAAAAGTTTTTTTTTTTTGAAAAAAAAGAAGATAAAGAACAGTGAAAGCATATTTGAGAAATTTTGGTGTCTGGAACAAGGACATACCCGTTAGCATAGGGTGAATCACGGTGAGAGCGGCGATATGGTGGCGACTTGCTGTAGCTACGGCCCCTGCGAGGAGATATGCTGCGGCGTCGAGGAGGAGGAGACCTTCTTCCACGAGGGCTGTAACTTCTACCACAAAGTGCAAATTTTATGACAATATATAATCTTATACACAAAATTGTCAATAATTAGGATTCTCACGATGCACTCATTAAAGACAATAAAATACTACCATCAAACAGTTTCCACAAAATTTCTGCTAAAACTACATAGAAAGTATGAAAAGTAAATTAATATATATATAGATGTTTATGTGTGTGTGTAGTACTACTTTTTATTAATAAGACACAAAAGGAGAGAATGTTAAATGAATTCAATTACTTGTCGACAATAGCACAAACTACAGAAAATGCTGCATATAAATGGAAAGACAAAATATGCTATAGACTAGGTGTGATACATACGAATAAAAACAAAAACAAGTGAGCTAGAATGCAACAGGCATAACTGCAGTTCACACAATAGAAAAAAAAAAAAAAAAAAGCATCAAAAGGTCCACTAGTGGGTTGTGTTGGATTTAACAATGCATTCCTTGAACCCATAGTGTTGATAAGAATGATTAATATCATAATACTTGGATTGATTCAAAACACACACACATCAAAGAGAGCGCATCATACGTTGATTCTTATAAATTGCTGATCATGAAATATAGCAAGATCCCCAAAACCACTTGGAACAGATTAAACATTCAAAAAGATAGTTTTGGTGGGGGGTGGAAGAGGAGAGACAATAATGTAAAAGTAGTTGGTTTGAAAATAAACAGAAAAACACATACAGTATATATTATATAGATAACAATAACCGCATTCATCTAACAGAATCAAGCAGATAATAATTAAAGATTAATAAAAAGACAGAATCAAGCTGATTGCATAGAGAAAATACATGTTTTCCAGAATTTCACGATTGCAAGTCAGAGAAGGCTGTAAGGTGTCAAAAATAAAACAGAAAAAATATGGGGAGAACCATGGAACGCACCTACGCCCATAACTCGGACTTCTACGACGTCGAGGACTGGGGCTTCGACGATACCCACTTCCTAAGCCTCGTGAACCAATGCGCAAGCGACACTCTCGGGCAAAATGACCAGGTTCACCACACTCGTAACACTTCAAGTCCTCGCCTCCACCACGTCCACGCCCACCACCACCACCGCCTCCACCACGACCTCCACCACTTCCCTTAGAATTGTGTGAAAGCTCAACACGCCAGCCGTTTTTCCCTGTTAAATCAACTTTCATCTAAATGAAAACCTCAAAGGTTTACAGAGCAGGATAAAAACAAGCATCATTCCTCATAATTAATAAATGATACAAAAGATTGTTGTCTAGCATAATCTACAGTAATCCTGAATAATACAAGAATTTAAATGTAGGACAACTAAATAGCGTTGACAATTAACACACAAATTATTACTCATGAAGGAGGTCCAGTTACATGAAACTCAGCCGGAGCCAAAGAATTGTCTCAAAGAGCACCCATAAGAGGGAAAAAGAAACAAATTGACAATACAGATCAGAAAATTCAGGTAAGATATTCTTCGGTCATTAAAGCTATATATATATATATATATATTGAGCCAGTCACATGAGACTTATCTGCAGCCAAAGAATCATCTTTAAGAGCATCCATGAGGGGGAAAGAGAAACAAATAGAAACAATATATACCGGAAAATTCAGGTAAGATACTATTGGGGCATTAAGTTATCCATGTATGTTATAAGCAATTATATATATATATATATATATATATATATATATATATATATATATACAGACATTCTCTATATCCTTTGAAATCCTTATTTATCATCCTCTCTCTCACTCTCTCTCTCTCTCTCTCTCTATATATATATATATATATATATATTGAGCCAGTCACATGAGACTTATCTGCAGCCAAAGAATCATCTTTAATAGCATCCATGAGGGGGAAAGAGAAACAAATAGAAACAATATATACCGGAAAATTCAGGTAAGATACTATTGGGGCATTAAGTTATCCATGTATGTTATAAGCAATTATATATATATATATATATATATATATATACAGACATTCTCTATATCCTTTGAAATCCTTATTTATCATCCTCTCTCTCTCTCTCTCTCTCTATATATATATATATATATAAATTCAGGTAAGATACTATTGGGGCATTAAGTTATCCATGTATGTTATAAGCAATTATATATATATATATATATATATATATATACAGACATTCTCTATATCCTTTGAAATCCTTATTTATCATCCTCTCTCTCTCTCTCTCTCTCTCTATATATATATATATATATATATAGAAACAAATAGAAACAATATATACCGGAAAATTCAGGTAAGATACTATTGGGGCATTAAGTTATCCCTGTATGTTATAAGCAATTATATATATATATATATATATATATATATATCTACAGAAATCCTTATTTATCATCCTCTCTCATATATATATATATATATATATATCTACAGACATTCTCTATATCCTTTGAAATCCCTGAGAGAGAGAGGATGATAAATAAGGATTTCAAAGGATATAGAGAATGTCTGTAGATTGAGAGAGAGAGAGAGGATGATAAATAAGGATTTCAAAGGATATAGAGAATGTCTGTAGATTGAGAGAGAGAGAGAGGATGATAAATAAGGATTTCAAAGGATATAGAGAATGTCTGTAGATTGAGAGAGAGAGAGAGAGAGAGAGAGAGAGGATGATAAATAAGGATTTCAAAGGATATAGAGAATGTCTGTAGATATATATATATATATATGAGAGAGGATGATAAATAAGGATTTCAAAGGATATAGAGAATGTCTGTAGATTGAGAGAGAGAGAGAGGATGATAAATAAGGATTTCAAAGGATATAGAGAATGTCTGTAGATATATATATATATATATATTCATGAATGGACTTACAAGGCATTTCAAAGTAGTCCAGTGTAGTATGTCATTTAGTGAGAGAGGATGATAAATATATATATATATAGAGAGAGAGAGAGAGAGGATGATAAATAAGGATTTCAAAGGATATAGAGAATGTCTGTAGCTCATGAATGGACTTACAAGGCATTTCAAAGTAGTCCAGTGTAGTATGTCATTTAGTGAGATCCCATGGGACATGCTCCATCCATGGAGCAAGCCACTCATTGATGATATAGTTTCAGTCAATAAAACTAAAGTATGAAATGATGCTTTAGAATTATCAGAGTCAAATAGGATTCACTAACAACAAATTTCAACTGAGGCGTCATGGAGCATGTCATTAACTAATGATTTAGTTTTAGTCGATGAAATCAAAATGGGGAAACTAATAACGTACAATTGTAGGGAAGCAATGGTTATACTACTAGCAAACTGGGAATTTAGAATGTTGAAAAATATAACTTGGTAATAGGATTAGATATGGGAACAAAATGCGTGAACTTTATGTGGAAATATGGAAACAGATCCACTTGCAATAGTCAAAATTACATACTGTGGTATATGACAATCAATTTACCACAAACACGCTCAAGCAATCTCACCTAACAATTCATTAAAAAAAAAATGTTATGTAACTAAACTATTAGACTACCAGAAGATATAAGGGGAGATCTCGAAAACAGAACAAACCTATATGACTTATTATTTCTGAATAAAAGAATTGACAAATTAATTATCTACCAATAAAATTCATGGTGATATAATTTGAGTTGTATAGTTTGATACCTAAAAAAAATAAATGGAAATGATATTCAGAGAGAACATCAAGTAACAAACTAACATTGCACTTTGCAGTATAAGCAGTAAAAACTATGCCTCCACTGGCAAGAAACGGGCTTTTTAGGACATACCCCACAATTATTAATCATTAGCATGATAATTCCAATTAACATTCAAGGCATAGCTAGAAACTGCTTATGTATTGCACAAATTATAACAAAAAATACATGAGAATAGCACATTCCAAAAAAGTAACTAGAAAGGTTGGATCAGTAGTATTAAACAAAAGTAAGTGAAGAAGGCATTAAAACAATTATCAAGTTTTCTTGGCAACTGATACTGACATAGAAAGTATACTTTGTACTTACCATCTAATGCACGAATTGCATCTAAAGCGTCCCTCCGATCATCAAACTCAACAAAGGCATAACCAGGCGGTCTTCTTGCAACCCAAACACTGCATTAATTCCATGGACATGTAAGAGGCCAACAACAATCATAATGCAAGATGAAAAAGATAAAAGAAATTCACCAAAATATTAGGAAAGAAAAAAGGCCAAACCCAAAATAAGTGGTATAGCACAAAAATTTTCGTCAACCTCTTTACTGCACATTGAGAATAGAAATAACATATAATCATATGAAGGAAATTTTCATACATTAGCACCATCTATGCAATTTACACATGGCCAGCTATTGTGGTTAAAACTATGTAGTCTTATTTAAATTTGCGGTAAATCCAAACTCATGCAAAATTTTAATGTTTTATATAGGCAAACAAAATTGTGAGATAATTCCGTTCATATAAATACTCAATATAGCATTGACCATGTAGATTTCATGATGATGGACAGTGGTGACAAGTGACAACCAGAACAACAGCAATATCATAAGTATATATCAAGTTACAAAAATCAGATTGTGTAGGTAGATGGGTGTGCACCTGAACACACTACACAGGCAAGACATAGCATCTAAATTCTTAAACACATTTTTTGCCAGGTAGACCCGCACAAAACAAATGGAACGACATAGATCTACAGAAATATTGTTGACAATAGAATCAATTTTAGCAAAGAAAATTATATTTTGTCCCCTGAACAGAATTTACATTTTGTAGAGGAAATTTTGAGAGGCGGCCACGGTTAAGGTCCGACACAGGCTATGTGCTGACCAGCAGGATCACACAAGCATGGACCTAGTCCGAACTTTTGAATATGGTTCAATAGCTTTTTCTCGTGCTAGTACCACAAATAGGATCACGGGTCGACCCTATAAGCATGCTATACAAATACAATAGTACAGCTTTTTAGAATTTCATTAATCGTAAACTGGAAGAATAAAAAAGTGAATTTAACCCTATTCCCATCCAAAATGATCTTGGATGAATGTGAAAATATGAAAACAAGCATAATTAACAAATTTTCAAACCCAAAATGCTTTCATAAAAGATGAACTCATGCATGTTCCAGGATTCAATTGTAAATATATGATATAACAAGCTTCAATCAATATGCCTAGCATTAAAAGATATTCATTCTCCCAAAAGAAAGCATAGTCAATAAGAGGTACCCTGTGAAGCCAGTTTCATTTATATCAAATTCTCACTCATTTAATCCTAGTGCAAAATGAACATTTAGGCATGGGAAAGATTTACCAAACTGATGTATGGGCGTGCTAAAACACAAGCCCCAGAACCCCAGCACATTTTAATACACTCAGGGTAGCATGAGCATGCCTAAGAATATATAGTTTCTTTACACCAAAATTCATACTTCCAAACGTTTTTGTCTTAAAATCTTTTACATGCATCCAGATAACAGATGGAACTATCTGGATTGTACGAATTGTCAAATAATTCACAAGCATTAACCCAGCAAACAAAATTCGTAGGCATGTCATGGGCATGCCTGTATCAAGGCGTCAGATTTATGCGTGCCCAAATTTTATTAGATGACTATATGACTTATGGTCTATTCAACTTTTTTATTTATTTATTTTTAAACAAAACACTAAAGGCAGAAACAAACTAATTCATGTACCATGCGAACATATCAACCTCAAGACGCACCATTCACCAATATTTCAAACACATATTAAATAACATCACATCGAACACATATTCAAGAGAGTCTTATAAAAAATAAAATTCACCTCCTGAGAACGCCGTAGATTCGGAATTCATCTTCGAGTTCTCTTTCTGAAACTCGCGGATCCAAATTCCCAACATAAACTCGAGACATTGTCGTGACCTACCCAACATACAACAAAACGCCTAAACATTACTTTCTTTCCTGAGAAAAGAAAATTTCCAGCAAATTTTCCGTAACAACAAACGGAACCTTTAGAAACCCCTAGGTTTTGCTGATACGAAGTCAACCAAAAGATCCAAAACTAGAAAAATATATATATATAGATCTGCAAGCGATCACTAACTGAAACCCGAAATTGATAGCTTACCTTGCAAAATTCTTACGGTTTGTGCCTCAATTATAGAAGTGCGACTGGCTCCGTAACAAATCGCAGAGCCCTAAAACCCTAATACGAATGAGAGCAACTGGTGTAGCTTTTTAAATTGGGCAAAATTAGTTAAAAAACACTTGCATTTGACATTTGTGTGCAAACAATGTGGAGCAGTCACGTGAACAAGTGGGGCACACAGCAATAAAAACTAATAAGGAATTGCCACGTATTCTCTGACTGATAAAGAATGACATGTGGACAACAAAATAAAGATAAAATTATTTATTTTTTTATTATTTATTATTTTGTCTCTCTCTTGGAACTTGCAATAACAATTTCCAATTCACAAAACTGGAACTAAATAGACTTAAAATTATTTATTTTATTATTTTTTATTATTATTATTTTTTTGTCTCTCTCTTGGAACTTGCAATAACAATTTCCAATTCACGAAACCCAAAAAAATACGTAATAATAAAAAATATGAAAAAATTAAATTTGTTGCTAGTAGAAAAAAAAAAAAAAAAACTTAAGTCTATTTAGTTCCAGTTTTGGTTTTTGGCGTTAAAAAAAAATAAACTTAAGTCTATTTAGTTTCAGTTTTGTTTTTGGCATTTTATTTTAATTTGAGTGTCTTGAATACTAATGATGAGGGCACGGTATTTCAGTTATCCATAATGATATAGGAAATTTTTTAGTTTGGGAAAAAAGATATTAGGGTTTTAAATTTATGGTGAGTTGGGAAGGAGAGAGAGAAAAAGTTTATGCGTTGAGAGACGAAGAGAAGCAAGATGACACTGCTCTCTAAGCAGATGGAAAGAGGCACTCACTGAATAACAGTACACACATAAATTAAGAAATTTGAACAAAAAAAATTTGATAAATCAATAACAATCCTATGAATAGTATAAAATTTGAGATTTGTTTCGACCTAAAATATATATTTTTTAAAGTATTTTTCTTTTTCAGGTAAAATGTTTTTTTTTTATTTTTACTTTGTCAGTATTTAGTAAAGATCTACATCGAGGTTGAAGTGTAGTCCATCTAGCGGGACATGTAAAATAACTTGCTGAAAATTTATGGATAAATTATTTTTGTTAAATTTTAATATTTTTTTTCTTCGTAAATATTTTACGATAACCAAACCTTAAAAAATATTTTACGTCCAAACAAAAAAAAGCCTTAATTCCATTATAGAGTTTCACATATTCTTTCTTCACAAAAAGAGCAACTCTTACAACCGGTATAAAAAATAATAATAATAATAATAATAAATAAATAAAAAAAAAAAACTATTCTGATTCTTCTATAGCGCCTGCAACCAATTTTTAATTTTTTAGTTGTTCAAGACTTCCAAAGAATAGGATGAAGTTGGATATGGCAAGAGGGGAGAGAGTGAAAGTTTAATCAGAAAAGTGCAAATAAAGGGAATTAATCACAATACACAAAAAGGAGGGAGGAAGAACTTTCATGGTTTATCGAGAGGGCACTTTGGTCATTAGATTTATTACTTCAGAGTAGGGATGGCAATTCTCTCGACACGGTGGGTTTTCACTCCGCCCCCACTAATGGGACGAATTTCATAGTCAATTTCCTATATAGGTTTAGGACGGATATAATAAAATAATTGAAAACTTGAAGAGGGGGCAAGGGCGAATCCAGGAATTGGATTTAATGATGAACCCGCCCTGACCCTCCCCGATTATATATTTATATTTAAAAATTTTATATACATATATATTTAATATTTTTAGAACTCTTGTTACTTTATCGGAAGTGTGAGTTAATATATTAATATTCATTACTTTGTAGTAATTTAAAGTTATGTCAACTTATTTATCAGCCCAATTTAAGCACATTGAGCTAGTTTATTAAATAATAAAAGTGACATAACCAGCCCCACCCCACAATTAAATGGAGTATGCGAGGCATAGTCTTTACTTCGTTACTGGAGTAGAGGTGGGATGGTATAACAATTACAAACCCGTCTCGGAGTTAGGGTAGGAATGGTATACCAATTACAAACCCGTTTCGGAGTTAGGGCGGAGTTGGTATGATGAAATTTTTAACGGGGTAAAGTAGAGTTTAGTCAACTCTGCTCCAACTCTGCCCCATTGCCATGTAAGATTATTTATTTAATTGTGGCTCACATGATTTGGACATATGACATATTACTTAATGGTTAAGTAAATAGGTATCAGATTAATATTATATTATTTGGTCAACTTATAATTACCTTTTTGGTAATTACTTATTGGAGAAGCGTTTTCCTTTCTTATTCTTTACTTTGATAGAAAGTAGAATTGTATTACTAAAAGGAAAACTGGTCCTCTCTCTGCCTTTATAAAAGTGCATATATTCCATCAATTATGTACAATTAATGATACAACACGTAAAAGTTTTATGTGTGCAAAAGGCCAAGAGAGAGAAACCAATTTCTACCTTTGCCTGTTGATCAGAGTTGCAGATTAGTTCGTGGTTAAAGGATCTAGAAGTTAGATTTAATCTCAACAAGGTTTGATATCATGAATCGAGGTATTTATATTTAACTATTTATTTATGCATTATAAATATGTGAAAATCATGATGTTCTAAGATTATAGGATTCATGTTTATTTGTGATGAATGGTTTAACACGAATAATTATAGTTTTCATATAGTATCAACGCTTACGGTTTATGAACTTATTGTTTTCCTTTAACGTTGCATAAATAATATGTATAAATAAAAATAAAATTAAATGATTGCATAATCTATTCATTTGGAATCCGTACTGTACGTGTTTTTGATCAATTTGTGGGTTCCTATGTTTTAATCAGTTTGTCATTTATTTGGTTTACATACATTGAATTTCGAGCCTAAATGAATTACCAAAAAGTTAATTAAGGCTTACGCCTTATACTTGTATACATGAATAATAAGACAAACAAGATAAAATCTATTAATGTGTTTGCCTCCTGTTTCCATACATGATTGGAATAGAACATGGGATTGAAAAGAAAATAGCATTTGTTTGCTACTGCTTTAAAGAAACTCAGTGGGTGTCCACCAATTACAAATTACAAAGACTTATTATTATTATTATTATTTAAAAATTAATAAATATATAAAATTTGTGTATTTGTTTATTTTATTAAAGAAGTTTAAATTATTGTTATAAGTATTTGTCCAATGATTTGAAGATTCTAATTTTAATTTAAAAATAAATTAAAATTAAAATTATTAAATAAATAAAATATATGTATTGATTTATTTATTTTAGGAATTTGTATTTCTAGAATAATTTGTGAGTTTAGAAATTTAATCTAATAAATTAGACATGCAAATAACTGGTTGTTTTGTATCCAAACATACATACTTATTGTAGAATCAATTTTAAATTGATTCAATTATGATCTTTAAGTCCGGAAATAAAATAATATATTTTATTATGTATATAAAATAAAAAGATATTTTCTATGAAATTTCGGACTATTAAGTTTTTAAGATTGAAGTTGCTTAAACTTTAATTGACAATTATGAGTATGTGTGTATAATGTTAAATGGGTAAATTAATAATTAATTAATTACTAGTTAATTTAATATTCATATTATGTGTGGGTTAGTAGCTACCAAAGTGGCCTAACTATAATGGTCGATGAATATTAATTTTAGTAGTAAATATAACTTAATGATGAATTAATTACTGTCTAATTTAATATTCATATTATGTGAAGATTAGTAGCTACTAAAGTGGCCCAATCATAATGATTGATGAATATTAATTTTTGTAATAAACATAATTAATCATAAATTAGTTACTATCTAATTTAATATTCATATTATGTAAAGGTTGGTAGCTACCAAAGTGGCCTAACCATAATAGTTGATGAATATTAATTTTAGTAGTAAATATAATTGCAATATTTCATGAATTATGATGCTTATAATTTTTTGTGATATTCATGAATATTGATTTTATTTAATTATGAGAAATAATTCCTCAAAGGGAATTGATTTTCGAGTGATTAAATAAAAATTAAAAGGTCGTGTGTATTTTTTTTTAATTATGTAAATATAAGATATTCAAAGGTAACTTATTTGTTTAATTAAATAATGCATCACCAATAAAGGTATACATATAAATACATGTAAGCATCATTATTAGTATTTTATAGTTGCCACCCAAAGGGGTACTATAGTTATACATTGTATTTATATTTTTAAGTTATATATACGTATTGTTAACTCAAAGCATTATTGTTGTTAAGATTTTATCTTATTATATTTATTTTATTACATCCCTTAATGCGCATGCTACATTTGTTCTGATTCTCAATATGACTAACTTCTCATAATGAAATGAGCAAGTTGAGTTCAAAATTTAGATGTGTTAAATCTTCATTTAACATTTTAAATTGAGAAACTTACTGTTATTACTGATAAAAACAGTGAGGAAGAAAAGATTCTCCATAAAGCTTGGGAGAGATCGAACAGATTAAGCATTATGGTTATGTGAATAATTGTTCCTCATAGTGATAGTGCTAAGGAATATTTGATTATAAGAATGTTTTCATGTTGTAGATAAATATCTAAAACGAAAATTATTAATTGATATAACTATTATGGATTTTTTGTTGTACTCGTACCATGTATGATCATATTTTTAGATGAATAATGTTGCTGCAAAATTGAGAACCTTATGGATGATTGTGAATGGGAATTTTCCTATTCAATTTATTCTCAATTTCTTGTCTATTCAGTATGGGTCATTTTTGAATTAACACTATTAAGACAAGTGGAAAGTGATTTAATTAATTATTATGTTAATTTATGAGGAGACAAAACTTAAGTAGTAAAGTAATCATTATGTTCATCTGACGACTCAATAAGTTAGAAAGAAATTTGGGAATAAGTCAGAAAAGGCAATAAGTGAGCAACACCCAAAATTAAAAGATTTAGGTCAATCTACTAAAAGAAAGTAATGTAATAATGAAAAAGTGTCATTAATGTATTGAACACTTTTAGAAAAATTACATGACATATAAAGAATGATTCGAAAAAGAAAAGTACGCTTTTGGCTTTTGTATATTGCGAATTATTTGTTGAAATTCTTTTTAATACATGATAGGTTGACTTAAATACTAATATTTATGTTTCTAAT